GAAGTAGTGTGTTTCAGTGTTTTTGGACTCGGTCCGCTTGGTCAGTTGAACCGGTTGAACCAGATCTGGACTTGAAAACGGGCTGGCCAGTACCTTAATCCGTTTTGCAAGTTCACCCGTTTTGGCCCGCTGGTGCCCACCCAACCCGCTGAAACTGTTGAAACCGCCTAACCCGCTAAAACCGCTGAAACTGCCTAACTCGTTGGGCTGAATGAATTTGAGTTTTTACTTTTTAATGAGTTAAATTAATATTAATTAAATTAATTTATTTGATTTTTAATATAATTAGTTAATTACCCACGCCATTAACTTTAATTAGAAATTAAAATCGCAAATCAATTAAAAAAACAAAACTCTCAGAGGATTAGGTCTTCCTATTTGCTATTTCACTGCAAATTGCAAAAGCAAACCCAATAGAAATTAGAAACAAAAGAAAGCAGGGGAAGAGAAGAACAACACCGCCAGCACCACGCACCAGTCACCACCGCCAGCCTTTCCTTGCCTGATCTCGGCCAGATATCGTGAACCTGCTGCTTGCTCGTGGCCTTTGTTTGTGGCTTCCAATCCTTTGTCTCTGCAGAAGCAAAACCAGAAAGCAAGCCCTTCATCTCTCTGCAGAAGCAGCTAGAAAGCAGAAAGAAAACAGAGCAGCGAAGTCACCGGCCAACTGCCTCCCCGATCTCAGCTATCGGCGACTTCGCAACTGCCTCCTTGGATCTCAACCCTTCGCCGCTGCCCTTCCTCTCCTTCTTCCACTGACATAATAGATTTGCATTTGCATTTGCCTCGGGTGTAAAAATGTAAAAAAAAAAAAAATAAAGTTTTTAGTCAACCGATTGAACTAGTTGGGTGAACTGATTCAACCAGTTGAACCAGACCTGGTGGCCAAAATAAGTCATCCACTGGGCCGGGTACAAAAAACATTGGTGTGTTTTATGGAAGGAAATACAATGTTGAACTTGACGCACATAGGCTGCTTTACTGATCCCAGATCACAACCTTTCTGTTGTTTTTTATATGCTGTGTGAATGCCGTAAGTTTTATACTTGCTGAACTTATCAGCTAATCCCAAGTACCAGTCTGGTGTTGGTGTTTATTAGTTTGTGTTTTCTACAATGCTGGAATGTGATGCTCAGTTTCTCTACATTCTTTTCTTCCTTTCCTTTGTGCTTTTCACTGTAAATATCAAGTTGCTTTTATATACATATCCTGGAAGGATACCTCTCACGTGCCATTGAGGTGCCTGGAACTGAAAATTTGAAACAAGAAAACCTTCAGCCTCTAGTGCACTCATGTCATGCATAACACTTTGACTATGTGTTTGCCAAATATCACCCACCTTTCCCACATTTTATTTTGTTTATTTTTTTCACAAATTCCTTACTGCATTTGAATTTCGACAGAGAAGGAAAAGATCCCATTTATTACTGAAGGAATTAGGATATCGTTGTTTGTTCGTTCTTTATTGTCTAATACATGCATTTGCAGTGCTCTAACGTTTTGCAGTTCCTTCAGCAACTTTATATGAGAAGTTGGAGAGTTTAGCTTGTTGATAACTGAGATTTCTGTTGCTCTCATGGTCTGTAATTTATGCCTAATTAATTTATTTTCTTGCTGCAAAGCAATACATGGCACACCTCCTTTCCCAAGGTCAACTTGATGGAAGTGGCTAAAAGGAGCAAAAGACCAAACAAGAGGGATCCATTGCTAAAGGATCAATTATTTTAAAATAAATAAAAATATTTAAATATTTAATGCATTTTTAATTGTTCACTAAAGGATCAATTATTTTAAAATAAATAAAAATATTTAAATATTTAATGCATTTTTAATTGTTCAAAAAAATAATAATAAATACAAATAAAACTACTTCATTGTCTATTTTCAAAAAAAAACAAAAACAAAAACAAATAAAACTACAAATATGAATCGTGTGATTTTAATTTTATTAATTTATATTTTATTTGATGCTTAAATAATTAATTTAAAAAAATGGGAAAAAATTATCACGTGTGCATCACGTGATTAGCAACCTCGTTGCTCCATGAATAAGCGGCGGCGGCGGAGACACAGAGATTCAGATTAGGGTTTTCGCAGGCCGC